ATTTCGAAATACCCAACATGTTTGAAAATCAATAATGTTCAAATATCAAACGCGGTACCAAAATTAAATTAATAGGTACATTATTTTCTTCATGCATAACCGACTTGACAAATACTTTAGGCCAACAAATAAATAAAGCATAAAATTATATTTATAAACAACTTGTTTGTTTCCGCAAAGCTAAACTAAGTACCGGTTTGAACTAAGTAGTAGGTATACAGAGCAGTAAAATTTCCTAGTTAAAGTTTTACTTTTTTTGCCCCCAAAATATTTCGATTTTTTTGGTGTTTTTTTTTTAAATCTAAAAATATTTTTATGAATAAAGGCAACCGGTAAACGTTAAGAAAAAGTTAGTAGATATAGCGTATACATGAACAAAATGAGGTTTGGGCGCAACCATTCTTGAACCGGGGGGTGTCAGCATAGTTTTTTCATCGGGCGCGGTATCTTTCCAAAAGAAATTAAGCATCTGTATATTTGGTTTAATCCATACTGACAATTTTGTATTGAAAAAAGGTTTTTGGTTAATAAAAAAATATAGATTTTTATTTATTATATTTTATTAAAGACCCACATTTTAAAACATGATTAAATAAGTATTCTATTAAAAACCACATTTTAAAATATAATTAAATATTCTATTAAAAACCATACCTACCTAATTTTTTTTTTATATTTTAAATATTTTTAGATCTTATTAGTGTTTATCTATTTATTGAATAAATTATTTATGTTTTATTTAGGTATTTACATTTTCTTTTATACCTAAATAAAAAATTTCCAAAAATTATTCAATATATCAAGGTGACATCACCTTTCTTTATTTTACTTTTTTTAGTTGTTTTCGTTTGTTAAAATAACTATTCGCCGGTAAAAATGGAATTTTTAATTTAATACAAAAAAGTCTAAATAAACTAAAATAAAAAGGGGTCTTCTAATAAAATAAATATTTTTTTTGATTTTTCGAATCGATTTTAAACCTAATTGTTGTAAATTTCTATCCCTGCTTACGTAATGAAAAAAATTTAAGACATCGCGGAATGGAGAAGCTACGTCACTATTTCGGTCACGTGACGTACCGTTAGACGCCATATTGGCAGTTTAGTATGACTCGAGGGGTTAGGACGTAAGTTCCGTTTTCTTGGATGTTCTATTTACCCTTTAAATTTAATCTTAATTGAATGCGTCTAGGTAGTATGCAGTGATTAGTTTTATAAGTTCGTATATAGTGACAACAGTTTTGAATATCGCGGGTTGTATTAGTTCGGGTATTTACGATTGTCAAAGCCGTCTATTGGCGTGCAGATGTTTTGTGTCTCTTTAATGTGATTTTCCATGTGATATGGCGGGAATAAAAGGACACTAACGATTCACGGTAACTATTACTAAGATTTTACCTAAGAATATTAGCAAATTGATTTATTTAAAAGGAAATATAGAGTAGACCCCATTAATTTTTTCATCCAGTGGCGGCGTTGGTAACACTGAATGCTGTTATCATTTTGACCAGTGGTGGGGTTCCAGGTTTAGCGTTCGAAATAAATATAACTCAAAATAACAATTAAAGTATAAAATTAACCTTTAAAATATTTTGTAATATTAATTAAAAACAATCAAGTTTGTTTATTATTTTTAAATATAATTAAATCATTTTTATTCTTTATTAGGTATTTGACTGTTCTATGTAGGTACCTACCCATGCATGTTTTTGTTTATTTAATTAACAAAATGAAGGTAGGTACCTAAATTTTTTCAAAATCCACTGAACGTTTCATGTTAAATGTTTACCACAGTTAACTATTGTTAATAGGTATACAAATTGAACAATACACATGTGCCTCTATTTTTAACTAGAAATTTCATCTTTGTATAAATTTACTTACCTACTATCTATAAAAACCACTATCTAAAAAATGTTATCCCAATTTAATAAACAATGGGATAACATTTTTAAAAAATACTAATTTAATTTTTTAGGTTACCCTAAACTTTTAAATCCTCTTGAAAATATTTTTATTTTTATTAAATAAAGGGTGTCCTGATAAACCCCCACCACTTAAAATGTTAAAGTATAAAAAATATACAATTTTATTTTTGAATGCTGTGTTTATAGTAAGAACTTCTTACTGTGCTGAATATAACACATCTAAGATTAGAAGGGTTGTTATAAAATAGCTGAGCTCGAAGTTTAAAGGCTGACACTTACCAAAGGCCATCAATTGAGCAAAGCACAAAAGCGTTCGAACTCTACCATAGAAGTATTGGAAACAAATTTCTAATGATGAATCGAAATTGTGTAACTTTAAAAAATATAATCATTCATTAGAATACATCAGTAAATACCTCTGTCGGCCATTTCATCTCAACTTTTTTATTTGATTTGTTTCCGTTGCCTAGTTTTTTAACAGCTACTTTCTGAAAAATTAGAAGTCAGGGAATCTTACGATGGTCAGGAAAAGTCAATGAAATTAAGAGGGTCAACTGGAAAGTCCGGGGAAAAAACGATTTTACAAAACACCTCAAGTGGAAAGATTTACATTACAATATTTTTTTAAAAATTTAAGAAATACTTGCATAAAAATAAACAAAGTTGCTCAGGAAAATTTGTCAAAATGATCAGGAAAAGGCAAAAAGGTCAGCATTTGTGGGCACACTGTAAAGACAGGAAAATATTTAAAGTGAACACCCCGTTAGGAATTAAGAAACCACCTATCTAGTTTTTCAACTTAGTTATACCAAGAAAAATATGTGTAATGTTATTTTTCTCTGGCAATGTTATTTTTTCTCGGGCAATGTTATTTTTCTCAAACATCTACCGAAATTCTTGTAAACAATTATTCCTAAACTTATTTATATAATTATATAATAGTAATTATTGTGTACAAGTGAATACATATTATATTATCATATGATGATAAAAATGTTTTTTAAGTTATACGAAGTTATATGACTGTCAAATTTTGGTTTCTGTAGAATCTACTTCAATGTACATTTCGTTCAATTTAATTATCTAAAGAACTTTGGTCACTTTATCATTAGGTAGGTACCTAAGTAAATGTTTTAATATCAAATGATTTTTTAAATCTCACAACACACAGTCTTTTTTTTTGACAATGATGGAATAAGTAAATCGCGATGATGATCGCCTGCAGGCTTGGCGGCAGAGCTGTTCCGAGTACAATGAAAAAGTACTCGAGTACTGAATACAAATACTGAATATAAAAGTACTCTAGTACCTACCAAGTACTATGCTCCACACCTTAAAGTACCACCACGTGACCATTTACGGAACGCAGTATTTTGAAAATTTGGCATTTAAGGCTTTTCAGGTTATGTATACATAACCTGAAAAGCCTTAAATGCCAAATTATATATCTGTCAAAGCATAGTCATCGAAAGAAATAATATTATGTTTAGGCGTTAAAAATGTATAAATCTTTATAACATTACAATAACAATGGATGGTTTAAGAATTTAAGAATATAAATACTGCATTTAATTAAATTCTAAAGTGTATGGTGTATGTAAGTAATATTTTTGTGCATTTGGTCCAAATATCTGGTTTTCTCCATAAAATAATTTTAACTAAACAGCAGTTATTAAAAAAAAATCTAGCTTCTCTATTATGGAATAAGAATATCTGTTTTAAATGTAGGTTAATATATTATTACAAAAATATCATCTAATTTTGTAATTTTAAGGTTAGAAAAATTTATTTTGACCAAAATAAAGATGTATTTTGGATTATTTAAAAGACTGTATAATACGGTATTTAAAAATGTAGTAGTTTTTCTTATCCAGCTTAAAGTGTACCTACATAAAGTTTTGTCAATACAAATAGTTAAAAAGCTCGATACGTACGTACCGATACCTACCGATAGGTCAAAATATATAAAAAATTTGCAGCATTTTATTTAGGTTGTTTCAGCATTGCTTATTCGTTTTATAATATACCTACATCCGTCTTAAATACACGTGAATCCCATAATTTCGTGCAATATCGGCATCGTTTCAGTTTGGTGGTTCCCCGAGTCGGGGGTTGCTAGTCCGGAGGGTTTCCAGGCCCTAAAATACATAATCCAGGCATAGCGCTATATTGGGCCAGCGTTTTGCCCTAAGCCGGACATATCTTTTTGAATACAAGCAATTGAAACAAACCTTCTATTTTAAAAGCCGCACATACGTTTATTATAGTACAAATATATCACAGTTTTGTTTTTTTTTAATCCGCACATACGTTTATTTAGTCCAAATAAATCACAATTTTGTTTGATTTGATTTGAAAAAGCCCAACACGACCGTAAAAAGCTAAACATATCGCCTGGCAACCATATCGCCGACTTCCTAAGCGAAATCGCAGCACAACAATTACTTTTATTTAATTTTATTGGTCAATTGGCCAAAAACAATTTGACCGGTCAATTTAACTACCTATAGCCTATAGGCTATAGGTAAATAGTTTTGAAAAAAGTAGCTTTTGCACAATATTATCTTAGGGTTCAATATCAACCACAGCAAAATCCAATATTTTTTATTATAAAATATCTTTACATTTATCCAAATTTTTGTAAAAATAAGTCCAGTTGAAATGTTTAAGTTAAAATATTATACATTAATAATGTTACTTTATATTATTGCCCATATTAATATGTCTATCTTTTTTTTAATGTTACTCAAATGGGCTTTGATGGGTTTGTTTTAAATTTAGTATTTTTTTTTTAATAAATAAAAAAATAGTATGCACATACCGAGATTTTGACAATAATTTTATAGATAACGCCCATGGACAAGGGATAGGTTGGGTAGGTGGGGGGTTTTAGTGATATCAGATACGGTTGTCTCTGGTAATAATCTTTATTATTATAATTTTGTAGTAATACCAACTTAATTAAATTTTTCCAAATATTTTTATTTTATTTTCAATGTTGGGAACAACAATTCTTTAAGTTCAAAATATATAGCTTGCTTTGTAGCATTTGTAAATATGTATCATTTTGACAGGTGACATTTAAATTGGATATGGCAGAGGAAGTTGAAATGGGAGAGGTTGATGAAATGCATTCCAAAGATGAAGGTATGTAATTTTATAAAACTCTAGATCAAAATTTTAAAATATTTTATAATTTTTTTACAGGTGCTATTCTAAATGGCGATATCAGTAACAATGTAGATATGGAAAGTTCCGATAGTCAAAAGGAAAAGAAAATTAGTAGTGTAACAGAAGCCATGGAGGTTGAAGAAGAAAACAAACCTGAAGCAGTCGCCAAAGAAAATACAAATACTGAAATTAATGGTGTAGATGTAAATAATACCAACTCTGAAAAGGGGGATGACGAAGAAGAAGAAGAGGAAAAGAAAGATGATGACTGTGTCTTAGATGAATCTGTAGATAAAGATGAAGTAGAAAAAGATATTGAGAGTAATCCTACTGGAGATGATACTAATGATGACAATGATGAAGGAGTAAACAGCGAAGAAGATAATGATATATCCGAAAAGGACGAGGATACTGCGAAAAAAAAATTGGAAGAATTATCTAAAAACAATCTCATTGAAATCAGTGATGATGTTCATGAAATTGATGACAATGAGGATGAATCAAGTCAAGCAAGTAGTATTCCTAGCAAAACTTCTGAAGGAAATTCAATGTCCAATGAACCTATAGATTTAAATGATTCAGGAGGGGAAGATGATGGTGATGTTATGATTGTTGAAAGTGTTCCAAAGGAAAATGGAACATCTGACAAACTAACATTTAAAAAAACCACTGAAATTATTGAATTGGATACTCCAGAAAAAAAAGAAACTAGAAAAATATCTGTATCTCCACGAAGAAGTTCTAGAAATTTAAATAAAAGCAAAAGCTATGTTGAAAGTATAAAAGAAGTACCACAATCATCTGATGAATCAGATATTGAAGAAGTAACTCCACAAGATCCTTTAGCAGTTAGCGATGCAATTAGTATAGAACGAATTCCAATGAATAAAACTAAGAAATCCTCAACAATAGTGGTAAAGGATACTAAAAAGTTAGTGGAAATCGCTGCTAAATCAAATAATACAAGTGGCAAAAAAGAACCCACATTGGTTATCATTGACACAAACTCGATTTTGTCAGGAAGAGGGCCAGTCCCAATTAATAAATCTTCAACCATATCTACCTCTGCTTATTCAGCAGTGCTTCCAGTGGCTTTACCTGCTCAAGGAATGTACCCAGCAAATATGCGAGCAACTATAACACCAATACCTGTAAATTCTAATTCCAATCAAGTTAAAGCCAGTCCTGCTGTTCAAACACCATTGTTGCCTACATTGACTGATGATATGTTTGTTGTGGAAGCTCCATCGTTTATTGTTCCATATGTTTATGAAAAACCGCCAGTAAAAGATTTTAAAGATTTTGTACTAGAATACAAGAAAAAAGTCGAACAAATGTTAAGAGAAGAGGAAGAAGAGGAAAGGAAAAGAGAAAAGGAGGAAAGAAAAAAAGAAAAGGGGGATGATAAAGGGGAGGATAGTAAAGATGTGGAGGATATTAAATCAGAACCAGACGGTAAAAAGAAAAAGAAGGGAGATGATGATACTGAATATAACATAGATGAGGAGAAAGATGTTGATTCAGAAGAAGAGGGTAAAGGTTTAAATAAAGCCAACAAGCCATATTCATATTTTACTAGTCCCTTGGGAAAATTTTTTGTCGATATTGGTTTTAATTTGGTACAGGAATATGTGCAATCAGATTTACTAAGACAGCAAAAACGAAAACGTGATAGAGAAGGTGGACAAAACAAAGAGACTGAAAGAACAATCCATTCTCTAATTAAAAATTTGGAATACAGTAAAGAAAATAACGAACCTTTTAAGATAAAAATGCGTAAGTGCGAATTCTGTAACTTTAAAACGGAATCTGCCTTGGCAATGTCTTATCATTTAGAAACTCCTCACATGAAAAATTTCGTCTATAGGTGTAATTTTTGTACGTACGAAGTTCGTAGTCCACACGACATTCTCTTCCACATGGAAGCTGAACATGCTGTCAGGGGTCATTTGGAGAGAGCACCTGCTTTCCATCAGTGTTCTAATTGTCCATTTGAAGACAATCAGAAGGGAAAACTTTCAAGGCATTTGGTTGCTTGTGCGAAAAAATTCAAGCCTGAGAGGAACCTTGATCCTCCTATAGACTGGGAACCTCCTGCAAAAATACCAAGAGTGCCTAAGGTCAGGCAGCAAGGTCTAAACGCGACCGCAGCCGCTTACCAAGCAATGTCTAAAAATTCGCAGTATCAGTTCTTGTCCAAGATGCAGCTGCAAAGCACGCAGCAAGCCTTACAAAGAGGAAGAGGCCGCCCACCAACCATTACCAACGCAAAGCCTCAACAAACCCTTCGCCCGTCCGGAATGTTGTTCAAACAGCAAGGCATGTCCGGGGGATCAGTTTTGGTGCCAACCAATTACCAACTCAGTGGCAATCAGGTATATCAGGTAACTATTTTTTAAGCAAGTTTTCGAAAATGGGCCATAATTATCTGAATAAATAAGACACAAAATTTAAATTAATTAAATGAATTCTCGGGTTTAGAACAATTCTTATTTATTCATCCTCTATATGTTTATAAATCGTTTATTACATGGTGTATGTGTGATAGGTAGTTGGAGGACAGGATTTAGGGGGACGACTTGGCAACCCTGGCCACATGAGTTTTGTCCCCAATATACATTCCGCCTCTAGCACTGTTGCAACCCAGGTACGCTAGTTATCCCTGCGTATCGTTAAACCTGTTTACAAATACAAAACTTAAACTAATTCTTTAAAACAAATTTTGATGATAAATGTAAAATCTAGTAGTTCAATTTCTTTATATTTATACAGGGTGCACCAAGTATCCTTCTATGTATGTATTGGTATCTTTTTTATTTGAAGAGCTACAAGGTTGGTTAAATTATATAAAAGTTATTACAAGTCTGTTAATATGGCATTTAAAAATTGGATAAAATATCAGCGGTTCTTAAATAATTCTTTAAAAAACTAAGTTTCACATGTAAAACCATACACATTTATCTATATTTTCATCCAATTTGTGATTTTTTTTGCCTACTGGATTTTGAGATACCACCTCCATCTTTTGTTTTTCCTTTGGCCACCATATTGAAATTTGACATGATTAGATAGAAAAAAATCAAAAATTCAAACAATGTATCAAACTACATAAGTATGTTATAACGATTTTTGGTTATAAAAGGTTTTTTGTTCTTTCAATTATTTTTAAGAACCGCTGGCGTTTTTTCCAATTTTTAAATTTCATGTTAAAAGGCTTGTAGTTACAAAACTTTTTTCTAATTTAACCAACCTTGTAGTCCTTTAAATAAAAAATACTGATATAAGTATACACATAGAAGGATACTTGGTGCACCCTGTATAATAAAGGCTAACAAATATAAACCAGAAATGCATGGTTAAAAATAAATATAATAGACTAACAAAATTTTAAGTTTTAACATAAAAATATTGCTGTATATGCCTTCAATTTTTATGTAGGTATCTAGTATGTTTGTTGTTTAATTAATTTAATTGTGAATCCATACCCATTATTTTAATTATAAATAGGTAAAGGAGTATTAAGAGCTTTTATTTTAAATGGCTGTTTTACTAACTTTTTATTAATTTAATAATAATTATTATGTCTATTAATTAGTTCATAGAAAGTATTTTTTACACTATTTTATACACATAAACAAAGTTTGTGTAATCACTTTATTACTTTTTCTATGAATTATTTTTTGTTGTTCCGTTTTCTTTTGCTTGTATTTGCTATTAAGACTATATATGCTTTAGCAATTTCCTAAAATATGGATGTTTTTATTTTGTTGGGAGTTTAGTCTTATGACTTGGTTTAAAAAATACTATATAAAATAGTTTTATCATAAATACTAATTAATAAAATTGTTTAAACAAAAATAAATTTGAATTTTTAATGGTTGGTTATCAACCAAGCAATAGTATTTTTTATTCTCTTAATAGTAATAGCCAGAATGTTTTACACAAACTTTAAACAATTTTTTTTTTCATAATATTAAGTTTTTAAGTACAATTAGTAAAAAACCTATTTTATCTTTTAATAATTTATTTAAAACAAATATATTTAATCTGGGTTTCAAGATTTCATGTACTCAGTACCCAGTTAAAAGTACATTTTAAAATTTAAAAAAGTGATTCATATAATTATTTATTCATTACTATTAAATTGTGGTACTCTTGGGTACCTTGTTTTATCCTTAAGTGTGGACCTGAAAACATATTAAGAAACCTTTAAATTTTTACACTTTTTGTTATCTACCTAAAATCCAATTAAATGTTTTGCTTATATGTACTTTTTTTCATACTTTCATAACAATTCTCCCGATGGCGAAATCAAATTAATTAGAAATTTTTGTACAAAAATGTGTTTTTTAGTAAAATCATAAATTTATGAGTTATACCAATTTGTTTTGTAAAAATATTAAATGTATAAAGTTTTATAAAATAAAATATTCTGGCACATATAATTTAGGTTTAATCTAAATAATTACTTGATGTGGAATGAGAATATTGCCCTAAGGACTGGAAAGGTGACCACTACACTTTTTTACTAAAATCTGTTTGTATGGACATTGGGACAAACATAGGGAATTTTTATCAATTCGTGTCATAAGGGCGACCAAATATGCTAAAATGCCCAGAACCGAAATTCTATGTTTTAGTCGTTTTCTCATTTCGCATTACAGATAATCATAATTATATTGTAATGCGTGATTTTATTTTAACAGCAGCAAAGCCAAAACAAGAAGCCAGTGCACCAGCCCAGCATTTCGATTACGCCTTTGCCTCGCGGTTCGGCCACGTCTACTCCGGGCAACGTGTCCGCTAAACCGGGGGATAGCAGTTCTAAAAATTCGTTTGTGATCTGCGAGATCTGCGATGGTTACATTAAGGACTTGGAACAGCTAAGAAATCACATGCAATGGATTCACAAGATCAAGATTCATCCAAAGATGATCTACAACAGGCCGCCGCTAAACTGTCAAAAGTGCCAATTTAGGTTTTTCACCGATCAAGGCTTGGAGCGGCATTTGCTCGGCTCGCACGGTTTGGTCACCTCGAGCATGCAGGATGCCGCCAATAAAAGCAAGGATTCTGGAAGATGTCCTGTTTGTGGAAGGGTAAGAATTTTACAGGTTTATTCCGTATATTTAGACATCGCCTACTGAGTTTATTATAAGAGATAAAAAAAACTCAAATACAAAAATGTAGGGTTTGTCCTAATCGTTAGAAAATGTTTCGTAAAATAACAAATAAATTTCGCAATTTTCGTAAAAAATACAAACATAGCAAATCTTCAATGGGACTCCCTGTATATTATAATAAAAATGAATAGATCTTTTTTCCCCGAATTCAAATATAAACAATTTTTTGAAATTTGGTTTATCCGTTTTTAAAATATTTGCATTTAAAAAATGTAATTATTTTGCCTTACCAAAACGTAGTTGCCATGGAAAAACAAATTAGTTAGTTCTAGCTTATTTTTCAAATAAAAATAATAAATTAATACAGCAGAACAATTAATTTAAATTAGAGCAGAATAATTTCCTGCGAAATGTTTTGTAAACACGATTTAACAAGTTGCGGATTCGAAAGCTTCCCGCTATAGGAACTTAAAATATTTTTGTCGCCCCAGGCACCTAATTTTTGGACGATAGTGAAGTAATGCATCCCCGATAACAAATTTAACAGCGAAAACGTTTAATATCTGTTTTAAATGCGTCCTGCTTGCAATTGTAAAAATCCGTATTTTTGATGGTGCCGATTTGCGTAAATGCCCGTCCTCCCGTAAAAGATGAACATTACATTCTCCCGTAGAAATTTTCAAGTTTTATATTTCACTGTAAAGGTCTCATGCCAACCAATCACAGTACTTGATATAGACATGTGATATAGGTCTATGGCGCGCAGATATAAAATATTTAATATTAGTATTATGTTTGAGAAAAGGTTTGAGAAAAGATACTACATTAAAATTAAATAGCCATGGACCATGGCTATTTAATTTTATTGAATGGTCAATGATCAAATTGCCAACATTCTTAAAGTTGAAGTTAAAATAAATATTTAATATAGATTATTAGCTTATATAACAAAATAAAGTAGATACCTACAAATAAAAACACCAGGAAAATTAAAATCTAATTTATTAAATAATAATAATAAATTAAAGTAATAACAATCACATATTCCACTAAAGGCACTTGTAAGTCCTAGCAATACTGCATAGTACCTCCATGTGATAAATAGCTAAAACAATAATAGAGTAAATAATTTATATTATCTTACTAATTTACTACCTTATTTACCTTTTCTTCTGGACATATTTTATATTGAATTCTTTGTTGTTTTAAGAGTGGTTCTAATTGCCCAACAAAAAAACCGGAATTGTCATCCTAGTATAATTAAAAAACTGTTCAGGATTAATTTCTTGATTTTTAAAAAGGTTGCTCTGTATTTTATAAAAGCCTGGATTGCCCGGTATTGATGAATTGAGTCTTTCAACATCTTATTAGATATTTCCTTTTTATAAGGCAAAGGGCTGCCTGAGCAGTTAAAATGGTAATCACTGCACTTATTAGGTTCATTCCAACCAGCAGTAATTTCCAGTAATATTACTGATACACATGCGCGTTTGTAAAATGTCGTTCCAACCAACTAAAATTACTAGTTTAGAACTGGCAATTACTGTCAGTTCGTCGTTCCAACCAGAGTTACGAACAGTTAAATTACGGTTCAAACGATTCTTGCTCGAGAGCAAGAACTGTTGATAATAAAATTAGACGCATGCGTAGAAGGGGCACATAACCTCATCTTTTTGTTTATTTATTAACGTTTGTAATATTGTAAGTTTGTTTTCTGTTAAAGTGGACATATTATTTAAAAATGACTGCTATACAAGGTGATTTTATTAATTTTTAATGTTAATACATCTAATTTTTGTCATTTGTGAGCAGGAATGGAAGAATTTATTATCAATGTGTGATGTTATTAAAATATACTTTTATATATATTTATAAACTCAACAAACGTGGGTTATATTTATTTCTAGTAGCAATGTCCCCAATAAAATCTAAATTCCTTGTCATCCGAAGAATCATACAAGTAATTATTTAAAAAACCTGCCATATTTATTACTTTATTGAAATAGATATACCTATATGCGCTTTACTTAGCTTTTAGCACAATACAATTGTGGGTTTTGGGTTATATTCTTTTTCTTCTGATTGTAAGTACTACCAGTTCAAAAAAGGTTCCAACCAGTTTATACATTATTCAAAATAATTTTACTATTTTTGTTCGCGCAGTCGCATTAACGCTGTTACGGACGATAATATTACGGTAATATTACTGCTGGTTGGAATGAACCTATTATAATGTTCATCTTCCATGTTAAACATAAATAAAGTAATAAAATAGCAGAAAATAAACGTATAGGTTAAAACACAGAATATAAACAAAAAACAACTATTCTTGTTGTGAACGCGGATGCTTACGGAATGCGGTGCGGGAATCTATAAATTGACTTTTTACAAGACATACAGGTCGTAAGGGCAAGCGGCCGGGATGAAGGAAGGAAGTTAATCTAAAAATTAGGCTTTATCCAGAACCTCGTAATTGGTGGAATAAATTAGTGGTTTTAACTATACTTATAATTAACACAAAACAATCATTCCCAATTTCACAAAATTAACCAAAGATAATTATTATCTTTAAAATTAACAGCTAAAATTAATGGAATTTGCTAAAAGATCGTCCATTCATCAATTATATTAAAATAATATTTTTTTACTACCGTTATACTAATATTTATATAACCTTACCTTCACTGACAAATATTCAAACTTTTTTACATTTGACATAAAATGCACGGGCACATGCGCAAAGGCGCTTTCCAATTATAATTATTGGCAAAAGTTTGGAAACTTTTTCCACTAATTAAAAAGGGGGTTGGTTGTGAACAACACTGTGTAAGACAAACTTTTACATTAATTAAAACCACTAATTTATTTTTTTTCATTTGGAAATCCATTTTATAGCACTAGTAGTAGATATCTGATTGAATCTTTATGAAATAATAGCACTTCTCTGCTTATTGTTTTTTATTTTAAAAACCTATTTTCGGTTATTACTAACCATCTTCAGGAGTCTCTACAATAGTAAAATACACTTATTATTGAACAACATATTAAAATCATGGTTAAAATTACTTGCATTTCAAATTTCTTTAAAAAAAATACAAAGATTAACAAATACATATAAAAATTGATTAAAAACGTCACGATTTCTTTAAGGTCATCAAAGCCTTTTAAATCCTGTGGTTTTTAAAACGCGGTATTGTTTTCAAAAATGATTTAAGAAACGTAGGAAAAAAATATGCCTAGATTCCAAATAGGCAATAAAAATTTGCATGTCCCAACCCCATAGGCAATGATAGAAGATTATTATCTTTCTTGAATATTTATGTAATGCATTTTTGTTAAAACTTATAACCTAAAATTTAATGCAGAGAGTCTCTGCCAGTGGCAGCGCGAGTAAAAAGGACAAACAAACCAAAAACCAATTAATTACACAATACTTTTTAATTCTTGTATTACGTGAGTAACTAATTCTTTTTTGTGCATTACAGCTTTTTCCTTTAATAAATATCCAAAAAAAACAGTAAAAGATCTATAAAATTCTAACAATAAATATAATTGACGCGTTTCTCGGAAAAACATCATTAGTCCAAAATTTCCATATTTGGGAAAATGAAAAAAACTCTCCGACATTCCCATTTTTGACCAAAGTACTTTATTGACCTATTTACTACATGTAAAAAAATGTAAGATACTTTGTCCAGAATTCCTCATGTTTGTATTTTCAAACGAATATGAAAAAAACACAAAAAATACATGAACATGTGAGGTTTTTAGAAGAAAAAAACAAACAATTCTCCTTACTACAAACACTACAAACTAAATACTAACTCAGAGTAACAAAATAAATGAAAAAACTAAAAACTGTATTACTGCCACACTCAGTCTTCGCATCCACTGCTGTTATCATCGTTGTCGACCGTGTTATCAGGACTGTCAGGTGCTATGGTCTTCTGCTCTTTTATCAAGTTATCATAAAATTTTCTATTGCTGTGGTAATGTAAAAGAGGTAGAAGCTTTTCTAGAGTGTCCAAAAACGTCACATGTTGTGTACAGGGTGTCCCAAATTGGTTGTCCGTATAGGGTCATATCTCTTAACCTAAAAGAGCTAAAAAAAATCTGTCGACACTAATGAATTCTGTGATAAAAAGTGTCTACCTAACATTTAAAACCTGTATTCGTAACTCAAATATTAACGAAGCTACAAGCATTTGTCAAAATTGGCAAAAATTGAAAAAATAGGTGTATCTCCTAAAAAAATGCGAATCGAGAAAATTCAAAGACATCATCCGATGTATTTTTAAAAAAGACGACGGGGATGCGTGGTCGAATTTTTTCTAGCATTTATATTTACTGAGATAGCCTATACGGACAACCAATTTGGGACACCCTGTACATGTGACTTTCTTAGACGAAACGGAGTGGACTTGTGATGTTTTTAGAAGAACAAGCTAAATTTCATATTTAATTATTATGGAACCTATGACATTTTTACGAGAAACACTTATTTGTATACGTATATATGGAGGTTAGGAAACAGTTGGTGCTAATATCTAAATTTCGACGATATTGGACTAATGATGTTTTTCCGAGAAACGCCTCAATTGTTGTAACCTTGATGAGTTTTACTGTAACAATAATTTTCCAAAATACATAATTTCCTTATGAGAATATTGAGATTAAAAAATGTCATCAAAGATTGGCCAAATGAAATGTGTTTACATATTTTAATACCTTCCATATTGGGGGATTATTGGAAGGTTACCTTGATGACTTTTACTGTAACAGTAATTTTCCAAAATACATAATTTCGTTATGAGAATATTGAGATCCAAAAAATGTCATCAAAGATTGGCCAAATTTAATGTGTTTACATGTTTTAATACCGTGCATATAATTTTCCAACAATTGGCGAATTATTGGAAGGTTACGTTGCTCAATGAAATTTTGCAAACATTGACCATTGATTGATACCTACCAATGACCAATTCTAGGCAAAATTTGGTTTGCTGGGCATATAAAGACATAATTTATTTTTGTTCCAGGTATACCAATGGAAATTGCTTAATCACGTGGCTAGGGACCACAATATGACGCTAAAGCCTGCGCATTTGTCGTACAAGTGCACAGTGTGCACGGCCACCTTTGGCATGTACAAGCAATTCGAGAACCACGTCTATTCGGCGCACAGCGTTGTGGCAAAACGCGTGATGGACAAGAAGACCGCGTCGCCGTCCGCGCAGAACAAAACCGAGATGAAACCGTTGAAGATCAACGACGAGATCACGATCATACCGCAGCCGCCGAAATCGAGCAACGGGGCCGCCAAGGAGGGCAGCCCGAGCTCAACAGGGTCGAACGCGTCGCGTAACAGTACGCCAAGCACTAGCAAAAGTAGGTAAACTCGACGTTGCATTACTCATCACTGGATGCCTTTTTTGCACACCACAAATGGTATCGTCATATCATTTTTACGTTTTGTAAATAGGATTTAATCAAAACTAAATAGACTAGGAGCCTCAAACACCATTATAGTTGATGATGAAATAAATTTTATTTTTTTATAATTTCAACAAACACTTTAAAGCTCTTGGTCTAATTACATGTATACCAAGTTGTATACTATTTGGAATTGGGGTTACTTCATATACGTTTCATACACACTTACCTAAATAAAGTTAATCTGTTAAAAATTTATATTAGTATCTTTAAAATATTTATGTTTAAAATTCAGTACTGTAAATAAGTATTTTAACAAAAATAGTTATTTTTATTATGAATTTCTTCACAACCTGATGCAGACAATACTTCAAAACCTCCATATGTAAAGGTTGCAGAAAATTATTAAAAATCCATAGTTTTATAATCTGTGCCACTTTGTATTGGTATTGTATATTACTAATTATTTAAGCTAGAGTTAGGTGTAAATATAAACCTTACACAACCAATAAAAGTATTTTATGACATAACTCTAATTCTAAATAAAGTGATGTAAAATTAAATTAATTTGTTTTATATCCAAAGAACAATTTGTTGATGTAATTCATTTAAGAGCAAAATAAACAAAGTTTTATATACTTTTGTATTTAATTTAGGAGGAACTTTAAAAGTATACTTATTGCTTATTATTTGGACACAATGTTGACAAAAATAAGTAATTAAAAAAATAAGAAATTACAGTTTTATCAGGAAAATTTTACTTTAGTCCTAAAAAATATAACCGAAATGTTTATAATTTAAAATTGGTTAACTACAAAATCTATAGTGAAATTATTTCAAATGTGATATTACGATATCCGATTTCGCTTTCGTTTTAATTTCGCTTGCCTTTTAGAGTTTTTGGTTTTCATTTTACAATCTTGCCAAATTTACAACATAAAAATGTGTTTGTAGATGATGACGCACCAACGCCAAGTACTTCTCGTGCCGAAAGATTGGCACGAAGAAACGCAAATGGTGACGATTGAATTAAAATTGAATTTAAAAAACTGTGTGTTCGGACAACATGTGCGCGATTTGTTTTGGTCAGAATTTTAATATATTTTTTAACATGTATGGACCAAGTTGTTTCAACTAGGAATGAAACACTGTCTGTTAATTATATAGTTGCATTATACTCTCAAATCTGTATAAGTACTATTTATTTATATGTGAGATAAGACATGATTTTTTATGGTATAGGCTAGACAGAATTTAAAACAAATGTTGCACTCTTGTAAAGACTAAAGAATAGAATAGTATATTATAAATGTGTTTTCTTTAGTAATTTTAGACTTGTTTTCAAATAAATAAATAAATTATAAGTGAGAACAGTTATGGTTTATTTATTTATTTGATATATTTATTTTTATATCAATACCAATATTTTTTGTTGATTAAAATAATTCTGGAAATAAAAGTAGTCTTACTCTTTTCTATTTAATTGTTTTATTACTTTTCCTTAAATAACAATATTTTATATTATAAAATATATTACTATTTAACTAGGGGCAAAAAAATATTTCAACGAATTCCATATCGAAATTGGCGGAAAAACTTAATGAAAAACTTACTGAACATACAACTGTATCCAGAAAAAGTGACTGTGTTTTGTGGTTTTTGACGGAAGGCGTGATTGGTCCTTATTTCTTTCAGAATATGAATGTGATGTGTTTGTTTTTTTTTTAAATAAATTGGAAAGTTCAAGTTGTAAAATAACGGTAACATCATGGGCGGGTTTTGGTATGGGCTGCACCCCACGATCCAGTAATTAATCATGTTAACATTTCAGCTCTTAATATTATTAGAGCTTCGAGATTTTCCATTTCCTATTTAAATAACATGAACAAATTTCTGGTCATTCCAAAAGGTCATTTATCATTTTATGTTAAATCTACTCTTTCAAAAGTTATTTAAACTTAAATAGAATTGGATTTATTACAAAATTTTATATTACTTTTTTGTAGATCATTTTATTTTTCATAAAAATATGTTATTTTAAATCCTATAGTTTAACAAATATTGATTTAACAAATTCATATTTTTGGTTAAAATAGCAATTTTATTTCAAAAATAGTATATTGTGCAACAAGTGAAAACAATAGTCGATTATAAACGAGCATTCGTTTGGCACGCGAGCTTAGCGAGCGCTGCAAGAAATCGAGTTTATAATCGACCATTCTTCACGAGTTGCACATATTATTTTGTCCCTTAATCAAATACGAGATTAAATAAAAATTAATACTTTTGTAAAAATTATTTGACAGATAAGTGTTTTAGTTTTTGAGTTTTGTAGCATTGTTCCCAACTATACAAATTTACAATATCTTTAATATTTAAAAGCCACTAGATGCATAGAATATTATAAATGGTCGTTTTTGCATGGTTTTAAATCACTAGTTTATAAACTGATGGAATAATAGTATATTATGTATCAAGTTTGATAAACGTCATTTTATACACGAATTTAATGAGTGTATAGAAAAGTTTATAAACGAGGTGCATATTATACTTTTTCTACGACAAATACTTATTATTATCTTAAATGATTTAAATCAAAAATTTGTATAGAGCGCCATCTATGAATCAACAGGGGAAACTCAAATGTCACATTTTTACATTTTATAAACACAAATATAGGTTATAAATCGAAATGTATCTTGAAAATTGATAGTTTTTCACAGTGAAAGTAAAGGAAATGTTTTATGAAGACTTTACAGTAGAGTCCGTGCCCGAATTTAAGTTATAGTTTACTGCCGGCGAAATTAAAAGGTCAGTACAATTTTCATATAAACTTTTCAAATATTGGCGTTGAGAAACTATTTAATATTTTTGTATTGAAATAATAAAATAATTTTCACATTTAGTATTATTTTACAAGAAAGGCACTTTATTTTAACGATTGTATGACATTTGACAACTGTCAACTAACTTAAAACTAACTTCAGCCCGTGACTAAAAACCTGTTGCTAACTTCAGCCCGTGACTAAAGCGCCGTAAAGCCACAACTTGTCAATGTGTATTTAAAAGGTCACTTAGTGTCATGGAAACATCTACGATAAAGGGCGTTTTAAAGGTGGGAGTAGAAAAATATATTTATTTACTTATTTATTTTATCTTTAAGCTCAATAATAAAATGTAACTGACTTTTTGCAGGGATATGGTGATATGGTATATGGAGCAGTCCAAGCCAAATCGGCCAAGAGTAAGACTTCATGTTTCCGATTTGCTTCAAATTTTCAGGGTCGATAGAGAAACTAAAGTAATGGAGAAATCTAAAATTTCAACCTCTTTTATGCATTTTTGTAGGTTTTACAAAATAAACAAAAAAATGTCACTTCTCTTATTTTTCGATTATTTAAAAACGCGAAAGACAAAAATTTCGAAAAAAATCATATAAACATATTTTTTGACGCTCTTTAAGTTAAAATAAAAATAAAACAATTTTGTTCAAAAATTCTCAAATAAAATCTTATTTTTTTTATTAAAATTTAAATTCCCAAAAAACGCCACCTCAAATTAAAGTTTTCGGCAAATTTTGACTACTTATTTTTGGGGGGGGGCTCAAAAACTGGAGAAGTTATGAATTATTTGTAAAGAAATGCATATGAAATCGTCGCTACAGATCCAAGCATACGCGTAGCTACGCCTCGGCGCGCGGTTCCGAGAGACGTGCGCTTGGTCTAACGGAGAAAAAATGGTTTAACGATTCTTTCTCTCTCTTCCTCTCACACACACATTAATATTTTCAAACTATATTTTATACTCCAAATTATTTTTTTCCCAATTTATTAAAAAAAAAAACAATCAAATTAAAATATCGTTGATGGTTTAGCGATAACTTCTATGTGCAATTTTTTAACCGACTTAAGAAAAGCTTAAAATATTTAAAAAACTTACTATTACAATAACAATGTTTAATTAGGTATTTTTCTAGGTAATCTTTTAGCTCTCGTTAAAATTTTTTAAGAAAACATAGGTTTATATTTTAACTAAGAAGGAAAAAGTTATTTGTCTACATAGTTTAAAATTTGCAGCTATTGCAATTAAAATATGCAAATCATGAACCCTGGTTTTATAGAACTAACTGTAGTTTTCTGAATAAATAAAATACCAATTTTATTGATATGATAAGTAATTAATTATTTTAATTTTATACCTATATAACTATAACTATATTCATTGCATTTGAATCTTACATAGATATAGATATGTACACGTCTTAATGGCATTATACTAAATGAAGGATTATTTTAATTTAAAACTAAAATTTAAGTCCGTAGGGGGGAAGGGAATTTTACAAAAATTAAATGTTTAAAATACCATAGTCGCGACTTTACCAAATATTATAACTTAAACTGTAAAAGTAATTTTATTAACTTTTAAAATTTAAGTTATAATATTTGGTAAATTCGAGGCCATGATATTTAAGAAAACTTAATGTTTCGCCAAATTTTTGCTTATCACTTTCTTTTCCAGAGGTCTGGAATCTTTTTCTTTTTGTTAATTATTGGAGATTGTAAACTCTAAAATTACGGTTAATTTTTTTTATTGAGACTCAGGAAACGTCGCAGTTAGCTACATTGACTTAAACAATTTAAACTGGTGAAAAATATATTTATGGTTGTGTTAAAATTCCATTTTGAGTTTAATTTTTAACTATTTTTTTCAACATTTTTGCTAAAAAATCTTTATATTATTATTTTATGTCTTTAACTGGTTAAATATTAATGAAAACTGTGAACTGAACAATATTTGTCAAAGAATTTATTGGTAAAATCATAGAATATTAATAATTATTATTACTTTTTCCTTCTTACTTATATAAAAACCTATCTTTTCTTAAATTGTTTTAACAAGAGCTAGAAGAGTACCTAGAAAAATACCTAATTAAACTAAAACATTGTTATTGTAATATGTAGTACGTTTTTTTAAATATGTTAAGCTTTTCTTAAGGCGGTTAAAAAAATTTAATTTGCACATAGAAGTTATTGCTAAACCATCGACGATATTTTAATTTGATTGTTTTGTTTATTTTTTAATAAATTAGAAAAAGAAATAATTTTGAGTTTTAATAAAATATAGTTTGAAAGTATTAATGTGTGTGTGAGAGAAAGAGAGAGAGAGAATCGTTTTTCGAAATTTTTTGTCTTTCTGGTTTTTAAATAATCGAAAAATAAGAGAAGTAACATTTTTTTTGTTTATTTTGTAAAACATAGTTCTTAGTTAATTCCAATTAAAACTTAATTTTTGAAACGATTGTGATTTAATTAATTTTAGTCATAAACGATTGAAACTTATAATTTGTGTTAAATAAAATTTTTTTCATAGCAAAAAAGTTCTTTGTGGTAGTTTATAAAATTAAAAAGTTTTTGTCACATAGGCCCCTTGTGTAATTATTTGATGACAGATAGGTCCAAACTTTAGGGCATTTTAATTGCACATTGGCCTCAAATTATGTTACTTTGGCCTATCCTTAAAATTTAGTTGCACTAAGGCCCTTTTTCAACATCATCATCTTTGTTTAAAAAGTAAATAAGAATTAACATTAAAAAAGTTATTAAAATATTGCAGAAAGTATGGTTTTTTTATAACATTAAAACACAGGTCTACATAATGAGTTTGACCTACACTTTTATTGTGTTTTGATATTTCATAATTAAGTAGATATTACCGAGGGGTCACCCACACCTGGGAATCCCTGGACATTTTAGAGGGGGAATACCATAGGAATACAATAAAATATAATGGGAATACATGGGAATCCCTGGACGTTTTCCCTTTGGGTGGTTGACCCCTCAGATATTACAGCTCAGGTTCCATATTTTTAACCGGAAGTAATTATTTTTTACAATGTTTTCAAAGTCTTTCTAGGTTAACCTATTTGTTTTCAAATATCTGAGGTAATAAAAGCATACTAAATATATCAGTTCAATTAAACACATCCAAAGCAATCGAATCAAATATAAAATATTAAATTAATAGAAATAATTTTTATAACCATTTATGTAGGTGTTAAAAAAATTGATTCTATTCTCCGTGAATCTGTTTTTGCTTTTATGCAACGGATGGCGCTTTAATCCTTTTAAATAGATGCATCTGCATATGCATATGTGATATCACATATGTGATTCCTGAAGGTCAGTTAGAATTTATATGAAGATGAGAGTGTTGCTGTTTTATAATTCAAAAGTTTTAGTTCATTAATTTGCTATTTAAAAACATATCCACCGTGAAATTTAATATCTCAGTAAGTAGATTTTTTATATTTATAAATATTTTATGTATGTACAATTGTATTTTTTAAAAATATTAAGGTGTCAAAAGATACATTTTATTTCAAATATACAAAGGGATGTTTAAATAAAACATGCCAGATCCTAACCTCCGTGAAGCTCTAATATTCAAAATGTA